ACACACACACACACACACACACACACACACACACACACACACCCTTGTTTTCAATGAGGGAGGCATAAAATAAATTAACCCATAATGATAAGACATTCATAATGACAGAGACATTCACTGTAGCACAAGGAGAAAACTTCTTACTCAGATTGGGAGCAGGGAAGGCATGCGGAAGTCAGATAGGGCTTCATGGAGGGTATAAATAACTATGTTTTGTAAAATGCAGCGAGTCAGAAGTGCTCTATGGGAGCGTATTCCATGCAGAAGGAGGTGAGATACAGAGTTGGGGGGAAGATCACATGTTGCTCCTTCATGTTATGGGTGGTGTGAGGAATTTAAAATAGCAATGTATTTTATAAATGATGTTTTGCTCTTTTGGGGCATTAGTGGACATTGTCATCTTCCTTCTTGATCTCTAGTTGGCTAGAGTCTTATTTTCATCTGAGCGCCAAGCTAACTCAAGTGTAAAATACACAGTGCTCTTAGTAAAGGAAGTACAGCTTTTCCTTTCCAAGGAGAAGCAGGTTTTTAAAATTTTTTTAAAACCTTTCTAAGTTAATATTCTCTGTTCTTCTTTGCCCACAAAGAATTAAAATGATGACTATTTCATAAAAGAAGTGTGACTTATAAGTGATGCTTTGCTTCTCAGGGATCAACTTGACTGGAATATGTAAACTGTGTGCCAACGGCGTGTTTGTTTTACATTGTTTTCATCCCAGACCTCATTTTACTATCTTTTACAAACGTTTGACCTCAGGAGCGGAAGAGAGCTTTGGAGGCAGAACGGCAGGCCCGTGTAGAAGAATTACTGACCAAGAGGAAAGAACAAGAAGCCCGAATTGAGCAGCAGCGCCAGGAAAAGGAGAAAGCACGCGAGGACGCAGCCCGGGAAAGAGCAAGGTACCCCACTGGTTGTCTTCACGTTGGTCCCGGGAACATTTTTCACAGAAGAAGTATTGAAATCAGGCCCCAAAATGAAGCTGTTCCTGTCATACATGCCAACAAATTTAAAATTTTTAACATGAAAAAAAAAAGAAACAAATGTAGAAATGCACAAAAAATTTATTTCCAAGAATTATAACAGCATATTCAAAATATATCGTGTTTTCTCTCTCTCTTTTTTTTAATCACCCATGTAAATGAAGTGTGTGTGCAAAGCTGAAAAAAATATAGGCTTGTCTGGTGTGCCAGAACACTTACCTACTATTGTGGTTCTTGCAGGAGGGAAGTGGTGGATTGCTACACGGGTTGAAAAGGGAAAGGACCCCTGTTCTCTTCCTCTGCCAGTACTCTGGACTTTGATTTCAGCTCTCTGTTTTCTGTGGAGTGTCCCACCTCCACCCTCAGCTTGCCTGGTCCCTTTGAATTTAGAGGCAGTTTGTCCAACCTCTCGCAGGAGCAATCTCATGGCATTCTGCCCGAGTGGAGAAAGGGGAGACTTACTGTTTATTTTAGGACATTGACTATTCTGCCAATTTCCACCCCCAACCTTTATCCTTTCATAAGTAACCAGTTTCTTCAGTGGCTGACATGTTTGGGGGGTTCGGCTTGTGAGTCTCTCTCTGGGGCCTCCTCGGGTCTGCTTTTCAGAGTTAGCGGTGGTTCTCTCGCTGTCCTCTCTGCTCGTGAGTTCATGCCCGTACTCGTCCTGGCTTGTGGACACAGTGGGTTTGGGGAAGGGAACAAGATGAATATGTATGTTCAACAAGCCTTATTTAAAGCTAATATTTAAACTCATGCCTGAGTTCCAAAGCCGTTTTAAAATTAGTAATCCATATTTGTTACTCTCAGCAGTTGAGTGTGTAAGTTCCACTCTCTTCTTCCAGAGACAGGGAGGAACGATTGGCAGCACTTACAGCTGCTCAACAGGAAGCGATGGAAGAACTTCAAAAAAAAATTCAACTCAAGGTAGGTGTGTTACATGTTCTTATTTGCCATTTTGGAACTTGAATCATGATATTAAAATTTTATCTATACAGGATCAAGGGGAACGTAACAAAGAGGAAGTGCTGAAATCCTGGTGGGGACTGAGCATGATAGTGGGACAG